TGACTGGACTGAAGGGGATAAGAACGGCGGGAATGAAATGAGCCCCTTCATGTGTAGCATTGATTATGGACGAACAGCCAAAATAACGCCTGTCGTGTACTTATTTAGACCTCGTGTTGATCCAGCGCATCTACTAGCCTAAAACCCCCTATTTCTATTGACTTCATAAGATTTTTTGTCAAGCTTGATTATAGAGACCCAAAAATTCCGTCGACTTAAAATAAAAAACTACTTTTAAATGTTCGGCAGCCTGACTTTAAATGTTTCCTTAAATTCCACCAACACGAGGACGAATTTCCATTTTCTTTAAATTCCGCCTGCAGAAGGTCAAATTTACCTCAATTAGCATTCGCATCGGGCGCAACAGAAGTTTATGTTGATCGAATTTTATTCAATTTAGCATATTAAAACAAACATAATTTTTGATTAATTTAATATTTATTGATCACTTCCGCCACAATTACATATTAATTTACGCTCACTAGCCAAGAATTAAATGTTTAACCACGAAATACGTTAAGCAGGTGGGTGGGCGGTACAGACCTCTTGAGGGCCCCTACAAATCAATTTTGGTGATTTTTTTAAATCTTTTTTGGAAAAAGAGAAAGGAGGGAGTGCATCATACTCAACTCTAACCGATGCTGAAGAAGAAACATATATTTCAGCTACTTTAAAAGACCTGCGTGTCAGCCTATCCGGGCATTACTCAAACAGTGAAAAGCTCCGGGAAAACTTAAACCGAACAGGCTACAAGATAAACTCGCGGCCGGTCTCAAGGAGAAAAAAAAACACAGGAATAGATTCAAAATGGGCCACTGTTGTGAAGAGAGAATCAAAAACTTTGCGTTAGCTTACCTGCTGCTGGTGGTGGTGGTAATGACAACGTCATCCCCGGAAGGCTTCAGGTATTCCAACTCGCCCTCAACTATGCTGACCTCCTTTTGATGCGCCACGGAGTCCTCGCTGCTGCCGACTTTTGGCGCGCTCGAAGTCTCCTCAGACTCCTCAGCCGGATCAATCACAGTCCTGGGCATCAGAGCCGCGGTGATGCAGATGTGCAGACAGAAGCCGGCCATCACGAGGGTGCCCGCGCGGACTCCGTAGTGCTCCAGTAGGTAGGTGACGAAGCTGGGAAAGGCCATCTGGCCGACGCTCACCCCGGCCACA